ACAGAGGCAGATTCTTTCTCAAAAAAAAAAAAAAAAGAAAATGGATGAAATGACCTAGGGAGATGATATTATAGAATGAGGAGAGAAAAGAACCACAGACAGAATGAGAGAGGGGACCAGCCTCCATTGGCAGGGGAGAAAGAAAAGTTTGTAAAGCATACAGAGAGAAGACCCAGGACAGCCAAAGTATCATAAAAATCAAAAGGAGAGCTTTAAAAGTGAGTTGACTAAATATTTTAGTCAACCATGTTGTGCAGAAAAATAAAGTAAGATACACATTGAAAAATGGCCTTTGGAGTTAGAAGTTAGGAGGCTGTTGACTGTTACTGCGAGCAGTGTCAGTGGAATGGCGAGAATAGAGCTGGGTAGAGTGAGTTACTGAGTAGGAAGTGAAGAAATGAAGACAAATATAGGCTACTCGAGCAGTATGGATTAAAGAGAAAGGAGAGATTTAAGAATGTTTATAGATTTAGGGGTAAGATCTTAAAAGCAAAAGAGAAGTTAGGAAAAGCAGAGGTAATTGGTGGAGCAGGATTTACATACAAGCAGGTGGGAAAAAAGGAATTAAGAGTCTAGGTAGGACAAATGGATAAACAAATTGTGGTATATACATACAATGAATATTTTTGACCTATATAAAGGAACAATAGATGCTACAACTAGGATGAACCCTGAAAACATTATGCTAAGTGAAAGAAGCCAAACAAAAGGTCACATATTGTGTGATTCCTTTTATATGATAGGTCCAAAATAGGCAAATCCGTAGAGTAAGAAAGCATATTGGTAGTTACCAGAGCATTGGGGAGTGGAGAGAGTGGGGATTGATTACACTTCATGGGTATGGGTGTTTCCCTGGGGCAGTGAAAAACTGTTGAAACTAACATTGTGAATACACTGAATGCCACTGAATTATACTTTAAAATGGTTAAATGTATGTTACGTGAATTTCCCTCATTAAATCATTAATTAAAAAAAAAAGAATCTAGCTAGAGCAATTGATTTTTGAGTAGGAAGGAAGATACCTCTAAGACCAGAGGCACACATAAGTGTACATAGTTAACTTTTCAGGTGAGGTGGCAGGCTAAAAAGTTGAGATGTAGTTTAATTCTCATGGCTTGCGTTTCCTCAGGGAAGTTGGAAATGTGATGTTCTTTTGAGAATAAGGAACGGGGCAGGTAAGAATTAGGTGAGTTTAAAGAAAGCAGCCAAATTTTAAGATCGGGAGAGAAATCTTATGTAAAACAAGTTAAAAGGATTGACATTTATGTTGAAGGCACAGCTGGGAGTCTTCCCACAAAGCAAAGAGGCTTCAATATCATATCCATTTTTTGTTGTGAACTTCCAAGCCTATTCTCCATTGACTTCGTTGTACTTAAGGGTGCACACAGTCCTGATTTACCAGCTATTAGTGCCTGTTCTTCTTGGTGAAATCCACTTGTCACTTATCTGCCTCCTTTCATTTACAGAGGTTGTGCTACAGATTTCAAGAAACCTTTACTTCAAGCACCTACAAAGCTGCCTTCTTTCAGTTCTTTAAATATTTTGCTTAATTAATATTCCTTCCTTTCTTAAGCTCTTTGTTATCTAGTCTTCTTTATTTACTTAGTTGTTGATATTTTTTGTCATGCTTAATGTTACTGAAAATAGTCTCTAGTTTATTGGAATAACTGTATTGTTGAGTTTCCCTGGCTTTGCATCTAGTTTCTTTTTGGTTTTTTTTTTATTTCTCTTTCTTTTTATTCTAAGAGACAAGAGCTTATGCATCTAGTTTCTAAGGCTACTCCAAAGGCTCCATACCTAGAGAAGATGGTGTAAAAAGCAGGCGATTAAGAATGTTAATGACAAATGTTGTTGAAGACAGGCTTTTCTTTTGGTTCCTGCCACCCGCCCCCTTTTAAAAAAATAACAGCTTTATTGAGAGATTAATTCACAACCATAAAATTCACCCTTTTAAAGTGTATTGCCTTTGATTATTTAAATTATTTCCCTAAGGCTCTGAGGCTAAACCCTGTTAAAATGGTGGGATAATTTTGAAAAGAAGAATGAATTAACCCTTTGGATTGTTTATTTCAAGATCACTCCAAGGAGCATAGCCTCTTTCTGACATTTTAAATAATTATGTTCTCTAGAAATGCACCTTCCTACTTCCCTAGTTTGCTTTTATACTTTCTAGATTTTTTTAAGCTGAAACATCTAAGTGAAAGGGGTGAGAAAAACTTAGTTTGTTTTCCTTAATCTTTTGTGTGATGATTTTATTTTAGTTACAATGAGAATCTGTTCTCATGAATAATTAAATTATAGAAAAGCCTGATGATTATCGAAATACAGAATTCTGTCCATATTTAAGTGGGTCGTGTTCCTTCTCTTCATAAGTAAATGGTAATGACCATTTGAGTTCAGGGAGCCATTATAATTTAAACCAAGAATATTGGGTGTCTCTTTTAGGTTCAAATACATATGAAGAGGCAGCTGCTTATATCCAGTGCCAGTTTGAAGATCTGAACAGAAGAAAAGATACCAAGGAGATCTACACTCACTTCACTTGTGCCACAGACACCAAAAATGTGCAGTTTGTTTTTGATGCTGTTACAGATGTCATCATTAAAAACAACTTAAAGGAATGTGGACTTTATTGAAGAGCATGGATGTGAGTGAAAGGTAAAACTTCAGACAATTTAGTTATAGTGCTATAGTGATGTCTCTTAGCTTTGTAAACTTTTTCTAACTAATAATGTTCTTCTTTTCTAGTTACTGCAGTGTGGAGTGTTGAGACCAGACATCTTTTGCTGTCTCATCGGGCAGCTGAAAGCATGAACGGGACCAGGGAATGGCAGCAGCATGCAGAATCTTAGCAGTCTTTAGCACAATCTTCTGTATTAGGGAACTTTTAATTGACACGAGATGCTAAAGTCAGACATTGGAATTGGAACAACTATAAAGTATGATTTGATCATCAAGACATCACTTGGATTTCATAATCTCAAATATTTAGGGCAGATGTGAAGTTGAGGTGCTGCATTCCAGAACTTCAATATGTAGCTTACTTTTTTTCCCCCCTTCTTAACAAACCACCAGTAGTCATTTTCAAATTTTTTTCATCAAGAGAATAACTTTACTAAATTTTATTTCTTTGTTTGCAAAAGAATCTTTATTAAAACACAAATAATCTTAACTATGCATATGGTATGACCAGATCATCTTGAAAATATTCCTCTTAGTAGGAACTCTTTGTTTTTAACTCTTGGTATGGTCAGAATATATTGCCATAATTACTTAAAATTCTTTCCAGTTATTGGGATTATAAATATAGCTTTTTTGGATGAAATTTATGTTACTATACTGCTCAAAGTACCTTATGGTTTCTAAAAGGTAATTACATCGGAGAGTTATGCAGTAAGAATTCTAGCTCTCTTCTTGAAGCTTATGGTTGAAGGTTAACCTTGTTTATGCTGATTACCAAATTATTGGATAAATGCTGATGTGGTATGATAAAGTTAGCTTCTTGGATACTGACACGCCCATGGCAGCTGCCGATCAGAAATGCAAATTGCTAAATTCCAAAAAGAACCAGTGACTTTGCTGCTACATATTTACTACATTGACCACTTTGATTCTTGCTTGTTTGTCTCAGTTGATAGGGAATTTGTACAAGTTGCACCTTGTTTTCCATCTTCATGGCCTTTTCTGTTGGGAGACATCTAAAGTGTATTAACAGTGCATGCTTTTACTTTGTAAACGTGGTGCCAAATCCCTGTTTGCCATTGTTTTTACTGTAGCAATGTTAACTGTAGTAATCCTTGGTCAGTACGTTCTTTTGCTAAAACTGTTGCATTTTGGGACTTTTTTCCACTTTGTCGTGTGTATAGATTTTAATCTGTTATAGGTGGCAGAAGTATTAAAATGCTGAGTAAAGAGCCCAGGTTTCTTCCCCTTTGTAACTAGTCTTTTCTGGAAATACTGTCTTCTGTTTCTTTTTGCCCCTGCTGAGTGTGCTTTGGCCTTTGTTTGAGAATGGGTTTAGGTAGAAGGATTTCCTGAAGGTCTAGTCCTTTGGTGTAATCGTATTGTTGAATCTTGGGTTTATGTCATATCTATGTACAGGTGACATGCAGTCATAATCCATTTTCCAGATTTACATTTTGCTTATGTGGAGAGTAACTTCATTTCACCCTGCAGGTTCTTTTGTATAATGTACAGCAAATGTCATTAAATATTGAATAGTCCATTGGGGGAAGGAAGGCAAATGAAGAAAGTGCATTTGAGCATTTCAAATCAGTAGTTTGAGCAGTGCCTTTTGGGATCCAGTCTTTTTGGATTGGATTCCATTTCATCTTTTGATGTGACCTTTTGCTAGTTAAAGAAAAAAAAAAGGTTGGTGGTCATCAAAACAAAGCGAGCCACAGCAGTTCAGTGCCTTTGTTGATAGTTTTTTTTTTTTTTCTTTATTCTTTAAATCGTAACTATGCAGATGGCATAATTGTTATCTAGCAGAATTTTCTTTAGGGATGAGAAAACTTGATCTGAAAGAAAAAATTATCATCTTTAATTGGTGATTGACTTAATACCCACAATGTAATAGGGTTGATAGTTCTTATTCATTTTGAATATGTCTTTTCCTTATTGTTTTCTGTAATATAGGATCATCTAGAAATGAGAACTGGTGGATTATTGTTTTCATCTGTAGTCTTTTTATATTCTGGGCTAATGGAATGGTGTTGTTGATAATCTAAAATAACAAGTAATCCAAAAAAATTAATTTTACTTTGAAATGCATTTTGTATTTTCATTTGAATGTGTTTGATATGTTCACTTTTTTTAGCCCTTCTGTTAATGAAAAATAGTAGTTCCCCACTTTTCTGCCTCTATACCATTTGCATTTGTTCTCTATTTTCATGAAGATCAGCCCTTACTCCAACATCCCAAATAACGTATCTAAAATGCACATTCCTTGAGGACGCAGGGAGGCAGTTTAAAGCAGTGGCTTTCAAATATGAGTTAAGTAAAAATCACTTGGACCCATATCAGAGATTGACTTGGCTGGTGGGCTGGCAATCTATAATTTTTAAGAGGGGATTCTGTTTATCAGATAGGCTTATAAATCACTAATTTGTATTTGAAATAAAAGATCTTTTCTTATAACAGAATCAGAATGTGGGGTGAAACATCCATTCTACTAACCTGAAAAAAAGGATCAATATTTGTAATGAAAGAAGCTCAAAGTTGCGTGTGTATTCTCTACAGAATGCTGGAGATTTGTGATGGATAATGTTTCAGAATTAAGGTGGCCAGGCTTTGGACCATCTGAGAAGTCATCATATATAAGAAAATTAACGAATATAGAACAGTAAATAGACCCTAGTGGGAAAGATTATGACCGTAGCTCTATTTTGTTGACAGCCACATCTTTTCCTTATTAAAACCTGGGGCAGTATAAATTGCCAATCATTAGTCCCTAGGTAAAGAGGAATTACTCTCCTGAATGAACAGTCTTCCCTAACCTTATGAATGCAGACTTGCAGCAGATTCCACCTCCTGGTGTGAAAATTCCAAAAACCTTTACGATTATTTGATTATTCATAAGTGGATCTTGAAGTGACATTTGCATCTTGGACTGTTAGAATTCTAAATCTCTAGTTCAGTATATCATTTTATTATTTTCACTGATGGATTATTTTTCACAAGGTGCTTCAATCTAAGAATAGATGGACCAAATTTTTTAAAAACTATTTTCTGGCCTTGTTTTTTAATTCTCATATGTATTCTGTTTGTGTTATATGTACATTTTAGACAATTGAAAAATAACTGCTGGTTTTTCTTAATTCATTCACTCACCCTATATTCTTACATCCAGGCCACTATTCTCTGACTCGTAGCTGTGACTTTCTTTGGACATTGCTTCCTTGGCCTAACTAGTTACTTCATATGTAGTATTTATTGATTAGCTTAGCATATGTTACGGAACTCCTTGCTGTATTACAGTTACATATAAGGTAAAGTCAGTCTTGCATGCCAATTAATAACCTGCCATTGGTTGATTTTTTTTTTTTTCCCTTTCAGATGTTCAAAAAAATCACAGTCCTCATTTGAACAAACCTAAAACAGCACTAATTTCCTTCAGTCTTAATACTTGTGGAGTCTTTCCTTTTCATATGTAATACTGACTTTAAGAACAATTATCATCTGGGCGGGGTGGCTCAGGCCTGTAATCCTAGCACTCTGGGAGGCCGAAGAGGGAGGACTGCTTGAACTCAGGAGTTCCAGACCAGTCTGAGCAAGAGTGAGACCCCATCTCTATGAAAAATAGAAAAATTAGCCTGGCATCGTGGTGCACGCCTGTAGTCCCAGCTACTCAGGAGGCTGATGTAGAGGATTGCTTGAGCCCCGGAATTTGAGGTTGCAGTGAGCCACAAAGATGCCACTGCACTCTACCCAGGGTGACAGAGGCAGATTCTTTCTCAAAAAAAAAAAAAAAATTAGTTTGCTGGTATTGCAGTATAATTACTGTGTTCTACTTCAGGATTCATAGTACAAATCAGAGATCTGACCTCGACCAGCCACAGCTCTTCACATATTTTTATTAGCATCATATTTTGTTATATTGCTGCCAACAATCACAGGAGAAAAAAAGCAGGCTGTTTAGAGGCCTAAAAATTGAAAGTTAACTTTGCTGTCAACAATCAGGGAGTAAAAGAAAGGTTTTGTGAGGCACTGGAGAACTAACTTCTAGGATAGTCAAGGTCTTTGTTCCTTTATCTTTGTTTAGCTTTTAAAATCCACCCTCTGCCCCCCACCCCTTAATGAGTTACTTCTGAGGACGACACGTACTTCAGAACAAGTCAAGGCAGTAAGGCAAGGGCAGTTTTTTTTTTCCTGATACTACGTCAGGCCTAGGCCTGGCCTGACGCAAGTCTTCTCAGGAATAAGATGTAATAAGGAATTTTATGTAGCAGTAGATACCTGAGGTGCATGATGAATCTATACAGGTTCCCAGACTAAACCCTAGTAAATTAAAATGTCTTAGCCAGGTCCTGGGAATGTATATTTTTTAATAAATTCCTCTTTGATGGAGCCAACTTGGGCCAACATTTGGGGACAACTGAATAGGACCTAATACAGGTTGAGTAGTATCCCTTACCCGAAGCATTTGGGACTAGTGTTTCAGATTTTGGATTTTTTTCAGATTTTGGAATATTTACATTATATACTTACTGATTCAGCATCCCAAATTTGAAAATCTGAAATCCAAAATGCTGCAATGAGCATTTCCTTTGAGCGTTATGTTGACACTCAGAAAGTTTCTGATTTTGGAGCATTTCTGATTTTGGATTTTTTGGTTTGGGATGCCCAACCTGTATTAAAGATCAACACAAATTAAAAAATAATTTCAACACAAACATGACCTCAAAATCACTAGTGAATGATGAGTTATTATTCATTTGCCAATAAGAAGTACCTTTCATACATAGCTTAGTTAAAGAGGCTTCCACCAAAAATTAGGACTGCTTGGTCAAAAAACATTCCTTCAGTTTAGATAAAGAGCATTTGGTTTTTATACAAAATTGAGACAAAACAAGAAACTTGGGGTATCCAAACATTTGTTTTTATTTCATTTATTTAAATGCAGTGAAAACTAAAAGGTACACACATGAAATTAAGGATAAAAGAAAATCCTCTGACAGAGGTGACTATATGTAAATAACTTGAGTATTTATTACAGTTGGTGGATAAAGTAAAGCTAGCTAGCTCTAAACTTTGGAATGAAAGTCAAATTTTTGAAATGGTTTGGGAAGGGGTAAAAAGGGAATGATTCAGTCAAATGTAAAAATCTTTGTATGTCCAATGCTAATGTTTTCTTCTGAAATCCAGTGGGAATCACAAGGTAGCAGAAATAAATATAAATATATATGAATACACTGCTAGGATACACTATCCCAGCATTACACATCCCAGTGTATTAGCATTCAGTAAACCGTAAGATCTTTGATAGCTGGAATATTAAGTTTTGTACAACCTGGTTTATCTATCTCCTCCCATCCTCTACGTCCTCCCCCAAAATACTCCTTGGGCTATCCAGACATTTTTCCTAAGAGGCTTAAATTATAGGTAAGAGAGATTCCCAGTAGAGATAACAAAACAAGAAATTACCTGTTATTTCTGTTTATACTTGCTCATGTAGGATAAAGGTCCTGAGACCTCTCAGAATCTTATGAGATTGGAGACTTGTTTGGAGAGCTGGGTTCTGGTCTTTTCTCTGCTTCCAACTAGCTATAAAAATCTTGTGTAGGTCACTTTCAGGCTTACATCCCTCATCTCTTACCTAAAGATGGACTAGATTAAATTATTTCTTCCAGCTGTGATACTCGGGTTCTCACCAAGTAGAAATAACATACTTGAAAGTGCTTTATAAATGTTCTTTGTGATACTCATGATAATACTGCACTGCAAAAAAAAAGTACTATCCTAAGGCAACACCAACAAATGTATTCCTTGTAGCTGGCAGTCTTTTCACAGCGTCACTTTGCCCATATTCATTCATTCAAAGACCTGAAATGAAGTTGAACCATAAATTGCTTTAGAGTTTGTAAAGCAGGGTGAAAAGGTCTTTGCTTTGTTTTGCATTTAAATCCAGTTCTCTATTATCTATTCATACTAGTGCTTACTTTTTCATGGGCAAAAAGCAGAAAAGTTTCCTTCTTCAATCTCCAGTATGTCTGTCTGACCTCACAGAAACGTCTTCACGCTTTTACCTAGCAGGACCACCAGAGGCTCTGTCACACTTGCAGTCCCTGGCCCAACACCGAAGTCCTGCTGGAATCTGTGCTCCGGGGGCTGTGCCGGGTAGAGAGGGCAGTGGGAGGTAAGAGCTCTTCACCCTTCACCACCTTCTCCACCCAGCATGGCCGGCACACTTTGGTCTACGGCACATCTCCAAGTATAGAGTGGGTTTTCAATGTGTTATGTCTCACCATAGGAATGGAAGGGAGTACTCTTATTTGGAATATTTGGGGTACATGTGAATTTTATTATCAGAGTAGGAACTGTTACATGTTAATGTGTCTTTTATATAGCTTTTCAGACTGAATTTTTGTGCTTTTATCCATTCTTTATCCACAGAAAATATAAAAGCAAACTTCCAATTACAGTGTTTTTTTTTTCATTTTTTAAATTGTGATAAAATTTACCATCTTAATAATTTTTAAGTATACAGTTCAGTGGCGTTAAATACATTCACATTGTGGCACAACCATCAACGCCCTCTATCTCCAGAACTATTTTTTCATCTTTGTGAACTGAAACTCTGTACCCATTAAAACATTTAACTCCCCATTCTCCTTCCCCCAGCCCCTGGCAACCGTCATTCTACTTTCCGTCCTCTGTGAATTTGACTATTTTAGGTAACCTCGTGTAAGTGGGATCATTCAGTATTCGCCCTTTTGTGTCAAACATACTGTATTTTTGTTAGAAAAGAAAAAAACTGTCATCAGATTTATGTGAAATGTAACCTAATTTATATTTGGTTTATTGTTAACAGTGTCTCTTCAATCATGCTATGCTAGGAAGTACATTATAGTCTCTGCCCTCCAAGGGTATGAGCAGGAAATTATACTTTTAACAAACAAGCAAACTTATTTATATTTTTGTGATTGTATGCAATTTTCACATTTCATTTTGAGATCTCTTTGTCTTAGTTTAGAGCTGGTTTTGTCAAATATCCATGATTTAGAGATGGCATAATAACTAAAACATAACCAAGAATTTGATTGGGAATGGGAGGAGCTTAGAAGAATGAGAAATTAACTTTGACTTTATAGTGTATGGTGGGCTGTTGGTAGCATGATATCACCACTGGCTTCGGACTCAGAAGACCTGTTTTGGAGTGATAGTTCTGCTACTTTCTAGCAGTATGATCTTAATGAAGACATGCTACCTCCCTGGACCTCACTTGCCTATCTGTAAATTGCTAGTGATGGGCCTGGAGTATTTTTCAGTTCCTTCTAATTTTAGCCTTCTAAGAATTAAGGTTGTAGTACTAGAAAATAGGGTTGAATATTTGTTTCTGACCTTATTAAAAAAAAAAACAATTTCTGATGGCTTCTAAAGGTATGTAAGATTCAACAGTACAGGGTGAATTTAAAATGAGGCAAAAGAAGAGAAAGACAGCAAAGTATATGGCTTAATTTTGGTTTTAATGTTTCTTGCAGCCATTTTATACAGAGAACTTTTCATGAGCGCAGTCAGAATGTCCATGAGAGAAAAATAACCTAAGTTAAAAAACAGCTGTAGAATGTGTTGCTTTAACTGCTGTTAAACTCCATCCTCTAAGATGAACTTTTTACAAAGTGTTAATATAAGGTGGCCTGTGTGAATTTGTTTATAAACCAATTAAATGTTGGGATATCTACCAGAAAAAAAGAAGAGGAGTAAAATACAACCCCATTTTATTCTATTAGAGATTTTTAATTGGTCTACCAGAAGACCTGTTCCACTGGCTCTGCTTTCATACTAGAACTATAGGGTAGGTTCTGTGTGAGCATTGATAAACAAAGAACCTGTGTTACACTTTTATAGTTTGGCCCATTATCCAGTTTCCACCTAGATTCGAAGAACAAGGAAGAGGTAATAAAAGAGGCAATAATCTGTTCCTGTTTGAGGCTGGGTGTGGCAATCCTGTATGGAGGTGGAATAAATGGGATAAATTATGTTCAGGGACTGAATAGAAAAGATCCTATCTGTAGTGACAGTTCTTAACCTGGGGTTTCATAGCTGCAGAGAGTTTAGGGTAGAACTGTATTTAGTATGTTGGTTTTCTTTGTAATTCTCTAAATTTTATTTTATGCATTTTGAAAAGAGGTCCATGGGTTTCATCAGACTGCCAGAGGGACGCATGATACAAAACAGACTCAGAACCCCCGTATGTTGAGTTAAAGTGAACAGGTCAGTGATGGTTGGACCATGCTATTCAGAATAGTCCCTGAACAGCTTTTGTTTGTTTGTTTTGAGACAGAGTCTCACTCTGTCACCCTGGCTAGAGTGCAGTGGCATCATCATAGCTTGCTGCAACTTCCAACTCCTGGGCTCAAGTGATGCTCCTGCCTCAGCCTCCCAAGTAGCTGGGACTACAGGTACTTGTCACCACGCCCAGCTAATTTTTTCTATTTTTAGTAGTGATAGGGTCTCGCTCTTGCTCAGGCTGGCCTTGAACTCCTGAGCTCAAGCAATCCTGCCTCAGCCTCTCAAAGTGCTAGGATTACAGGCGTGAGCTGAACAGCTCTTGAATATGGGAAGTCTTGCCTCGGATTTTTCTTTGGCTTAAGTTTTTTAGGCAGTATCCAGAGTAGTTTCTCTGGTAATTCTCTTGGTTTCTCTTTGGGGAATCAGAAAGAGTATTAAAGGACTCTAATTTTAACAGCTACAGATTTATTCAATGTTATTTCAAGCTCGTATGGCTCTCTGGTATTAATACTGCTAGTAGCAGCCTAAGTGTGAATGGATGTTTCTGGCAAGGAACAGATTTTCATTTTAATTGACATTTTCTTTTATATACTAAATCTTGGATGCCAAGAGCTTTCCTCACTAGTAGTTGTAAGTGCTAATCTATACTTGACTTCACCACCTCCTGTCAAGATAAATACAAGCTTCATTTCCCCTCAAAGGAGTTCAAAGGAATAATTTACTTGTTGGCCTGTTTGGGGGAGATGCCAGCACTACATGGATCCAACTGCGAAGATTTTCAGTGCTTAAAACAAGCTCAGCTGTCTTTTGCTCTCCTGAAACATGTAGCAGTTGAAATGAGAATTTTTGAATTGTTCTAAATTGTATGATAGAGAAGTGGCAGCCATAAAATCATTAGTACTCTAAATGGGAGTTTGTTGATGTCCCCTAAATTTATTCAGAAAGTATTTTGTATAGCTGAGAAACATTTATAGAGATAAAGGAAACTCAGTTGGTTTGACAGCTTGGGGGACAGAGGGATAATCTGTGCTTAATAAAAACGATACAGGTCGGGCACAGTGGCTCACGCCTATAATCCTAGCAGTCTGGGAGGCCAAGGTGGGAAGATCATTTGAGGCCAGGAGTTGAGGACCAGCCTGAGTGAGACTCCCATCTCTACAAAAAAGATAGAAAAATTGGCATGCAGCTGTATGCCCAGCTACTCAGGAGGCTGAGGCAGGTGAATCACCGAGGAGTTTGAGGTTGCAGTGAGCTATGGTGATGCCACTGCACTCCAGCCCAGGCGACAGAGTGAGACCCTGTGTCAAAAAAAAAACAAAAACCAGTTTTGGATGTGTGCCTTAGAATCTAACAAACTCATATCCCCTATCCAGTGATCCAAATCTCTGAACTAAGGTACATAGAGGTCTGTTAGTAAAAGGAGTGGTAGGTTTATTGAGGTTTTGTTTATAAAATTTTGTGCAGAGTGTAGGGAGGTTTGCCATTTTTCTTGGGTAGTTGGGATAATTTATTCTAAAAAGCAGGTGTTGAATTTCATAAATGGCAGCATTTATGTAAGATTTCTTCCTGTGACTCTCACCACAACAGCTTTTATGTGCCTTCAGTTATGTGTGTGCTCCTCAGAATAACCCTGTGAAGTAAGCAGGGAAGTTATCTTCATTTTATAGTTGGGGCACTCAAGTCTCAGAGAAATGAAGTATTTACATTTTTGTATTAAGTTGCAAAACCAATACTAGAACCTGGGTCTTCCGACTCTTGGCCTTGAGCTCTTTAAACTGCACTAGCTATCCCACTTTAAAAAGAAGGTATGAGATGCAGTTGCAATCATGCATACTCTATCTCCAAAGGAGAACGAATTCATTCTTTGTGTCATGGTATATTGACTATAATTTTCTGCTTGAAATTATCCAGATTCCAATCCTGTTTATATTAACAGAAGGTATACCTGAGGAATGGTGAGGATTAGAAGAGCCCGCAGTCCTTGAGGTTTTCTTTGATAATAATATCTGTAACTGCATCAAACACAAATTTGACATTCTGTGTGTCTGTAGCACAGGTCATGTGACTGTAGATTTCTTTGACATCTTTTCGCATATTCAGGTCAAGGAACTGGCTTTTGATGTAATTCCCCGCATCCTCATAGGAGTTGTTCCCTGGTTTTCCAGAAAAATAATGAAAAAATGGGATAAATTAACGCTTCTTAGTTGCTCACTTTTTAGGTGACTGACTTGATCCTTGAAATGTTGTGTTAGACAACTGCAGTTGGAGACCTATTTTTGGAGGGAGGTTTCTCTGTGTTGTACTCCAGTGTGTCCCACTTGAATTGAACAGAGAAATTGAGAAGCGTCTCTGTGTCTTAGCCTTGGGTTTCCAGTAGGTATCATTTGGACAGTCAGTGGCTCTCCTGCATTGAATGTCTGCTCTATTCTGGACACATCTGAATTTACACCCCATAACTGCTCAAGTTTCTCCTCTAAGACAAGTTTCTTTATGTCATCTTGGCCTAGAAAATGAGGCAATCACCAGTCACTACCAAAAGACATTATTGTTGTCTCTAGCCCCTGACACTCACCATCATACTCTGGAAAACAAATGCTGAGATGGACTTTCTTGATTTTTTCCTCAAAGAGGTCCTTCTTGTTGAGAAAGAGGACAATGGAAGTAGCCGCAAAGAACTTGTGGTTACATATGCTGTTGAACAGATGCAAAGACTCATGCATACGATTCTAGTAAGAGGAAACACCATTGAAAATATCAGATTGGGCTTATAGGATATCTATTTCCTGTTCTTGTTCCCCTTAGAAAGACCAGTGCTCCAAATGTAAAAGGAAAGACAGGGAACAGCTATCTCTTTTTAAGGTAGTGGAGTAAAGCCAAAGAGATGTGAGTTCATTCTAATCCCCGGTCGATCACTGTAATAGCTGTGTGACTTGGGGAAAATTACTGAGCTTTTCTGTGTCTCACTTAGTTTCCTTATCTCATAGGGTTATTGTGAAAGTTAAATGAGGTCATGTATATATAGTGTCCATGATAGTGTCTGGTATATGCAGATTTTTAGCAGCCAGGGCACAGCCAAGAACTTTGACATTCCATAAGTACTGCTGATCAAGGGTTGAAACGAGGCCCAAGTTAGCATGTGTTCATTTGCATCTCCAGGATGATTTTGATAGGCTTCTGTCGTTGGGATCCCAGCTCTCAGTTTGAATAGGAACATGATAGGGATACTTTGCCACATGGTGAGGGCTAAAGAATTTACCAGTGCCGTATCATAAGCATTACTGCTCTCGTTTCCTTCTCTGATTGCTACTCTGAGAGTGAGAAGTGGAGCTATGTATCTTCAGAGGTTTCCCAGTCCCCCAGCCTAGCCTGTTTTTAGGGAGCAGGCCTTGAGGGTCTTGAAGTATGCTATCAACTAACTTGGACTCAGTCTTTTTTCCTCTAATAAAGCAAGAACAATCAAATTTGCAGCCTTATTGTTAATACTCCTGCAAAACCCTTTAAGATCTCATAGACTTCATGGTTAAAGATAGAAGAGATCTTGGAAAGTGAATAGCCCTGTAAGACATTTTGGTTAGAAGATATTCACAGTACTCTACTGTAAACTTGTACTACTGTTAAGAAGAGAAAGAGCTAGAGAGCAAGGGGTAGGAGTAGAGGAGTTTTATCTTTCATCAGTAAACTGTGGGCCTCCATTCATGAAGCAGATGCTTATGTGAAATTAACATTTTCCATGCCTGCGACATTCTCTATCTCACAGTGAGAGAAAGTAACTGGCTGCACTCTGATACTTGTCCTGCAGAGCTCCTGTATTGTAGAATTCTACAGGTCCAAGAAAACTACTCACCTAGTCAGTTGCCAATTTAACTGGTATGTCAGAAACCTGGCCTGACAGTCTCTCCTTCCTCTTGTTGACACTCTACATTTTTAGGCTTCTGAAGTGAGCCTTCTGTCATGTGGCATGAGGATTCACATCATATGTTGTTTGCTCTGTCATCTTCATCTCCTTCCTTGGACAACTTGGGAGAGTACTAAGCGTAACTCCTTTGCATCACCTAGGTGATGATCCCTTACCTCTTTAATACTCAGTTTCTCTTATGAGCTTTGTGTGATGTCCAAGTGATACTAACCTCTAACCTGAGACCAAGCTTACTGGCAGTAAATCTGGAGCTCTAAGTTGCTCACCTAGAACCTACAGAAGAAGAGGTTTTTCTAGAGTTATTTGCATGAGACATTGATTGGTCTGCTAGAGGGCTGCTAGACTGTCATTGTTAGCCAAAATTACCCAAGTTAGGGCATTGGAGTGACACAAGGCTTAGAGAAACGGTTGTGGGGAGAACTTGTTCTACCAAAGCTGCTTGGTGCAAAGGCCACTCACCACTTCGTCATCTTCCACCAGCACCATATCATAGGCACTGAGAGCTGCGCAGAAAATGATGCAGGTGACTCCTTCAAAGCAGTGGATCCACTTCTTTCTCTCTGATCTTTGCCCTCCCACATCAAACATCCTGAGGGAAGAAGCAGCTGTTCTCATAGGTATGCCTAACATATGACCCACATGCCTTTGGTGTTCACCCCGAAAGGTTGGTGAAGTAGGACAGTAATTTAGGTTAGGCTGCATCAAAGACCAAGAAGCATGCCCATACCCATTTTTGGGATACCACATGTGTATCTGAGGTGCCCCAGGGAACTATGTATTCACCTGAAATTCAAGTCTTTGACGGAAAACTTGGTCTCGATGATGCCTGTGGTTTTGACTCTGGACCGTAGCACATCTTGCTCATTAGGGAGGTAGTCAGGGTCTGTAATTCGTTCCAGCTGGTTTAGGTAGCTATAGAAAAGTGATTGGTATTGATGACAAATTTTCCACAGCCGAGGTAAAGGGTCTTACCCAAAGTCACACAGCTAATTTGGTGATAGAACCAGGACTAGAAGCCATATTGTTAAATCTAGGATTCTTTCCTTCAAACCCTTGTGTCCTTAATAAAGGAAGTAGGGGATGGGATAAGGGACAAGCCCATTTGAAGCAGAGGTTCCATCTTATTTAAATCAAATCAAATAAGTTTTTCTTGGGTTTTGCCTGACTGCAAGCCTTTCTAGACCCTTGAATGAGATTTAGTGGTTTAAAGATGCTAAAAGTTTCATCAAGAGGCAAGATTGAGAGAGATTTAGAGACATGAAGCAATGCAATGCATGGACTTTGTTTATATCCTGAATCAAATTGGGGGAAAAACATTTAAGATAATTGGAAATTTGAACACTAATTTGGTGATATTTTATATTAAGGAATTAATTATTTAGGTGTGATGATGACATTGTGATTTATTTTTTTAAAAGAGTCTCTATTTTAGAGATATGTAAGACATTTTTAGGATGAAATTATATCTGAGATTTGCTCCAAAATAATCCAGTAGGGGATGGGGGTAAAATGAAATTAGAGGAGCCATGAGTTGATAACTGTTGAAGGTAGATGATTTATTATATTATTCCACTTCTGTATGGTTTGAAAGTTACCATAAAATAAACAGGGGCGGGGCGGGGGGACTGGACGCGGTGGCTCACGCCTGTAATCCTAGCACTCTGGGAGGCCCAGGTGGGAGGATCACTCGAGGTCAGGAGTTCGAGACCAGCCTGAACAAGAGCGAGACCCCCCATTTCTACTAAAAATAGAAAGAAACTGGCTGGACAACAAAAATATATAGAAAAAATTAGCCGGGCATGGTGGCGCGTGCCTGTAGTCCCAGCTACTCGGGAGGCTGAGGCAGAAGGATTGCTTAAGCTCAGGAATTTGAGGTTGCTGTGAGCTAGGCTGACTCCAGAGCACTCTAGCCTGGGCAACAGCAAGACTCTGTCTCCAAAAAAAAATAAGATAAATAAACAGGGAAGGAGGGGGAGAAAGAAGGCAGCTGTGAAGTGAGATGGCTGAGGGAAGGAGGGAGAACAATTAACACAAGTGCCTACTGTATGCCAGGCATTTTCACATTTAAATTCTCATGGAAGCTCCTAAGCCTTCACATTTCATATCTCCATTTTACAGATGAAAGAAAAATTCAGGAGAGTTAAATAACTTGCCCAGGGTCAAGAGGCACTGTGGTGTATTGTGAAAAATACTCAGCTTTGTAGTCAAGGAGACCTGAATTCAGACTAGCTTCTGCCATTTATATGACCTTGGGCAAGTTAATTAACTTCTCTGAATCTCAGTTTTTTCATCTATAAAATGGGGATAATAAAAAGTACTGTCTACCTTTAAGTCTTACTGTATAGGTGGGTAAAGGGTCTTGAGACAGTGTTCATAATGCACCTAGCAGTGACTGGCCTTAGTAAGTGAGTGTTCCAGGGATGGTAAATGGTAACAGTATTTCAAGATTAGGTGACAGATGGGAGTTAAACTCAGGTCTGTTTGACTTTGAAGCCCATGCTTGTCTATGGTCCCATACTGTCTGAGATAGGATTGATAAAGTGTGTTGCTCATTTTTTTGGAACCAACTTTGCTAAATTGGTTCTCTCTAATCCCTGACCACCTTCCTTTGGTTTGCCCTGGCAATTTCTGTGTCCCCTGCCCTGGCATCCTGACATAAGATGCTCTAGGTGTAGGAAACTTTCATTTCTGCTTAGTGGCCTAACTAGAACCTGGGTTACCTGCTAGAAAATTCTGCCCTGAAAGAGCCACCATAAATCACATGTCTCCTGGGAGTGTGTGTGGCAGAACTGTAAGGCTTTGTTATGGTTCTGAAAGGAGGGGCTCAGTGTACAACTCAAGAGAACAGGTTTGAGGGTGGCTAGACAGACCACCTCTGTTAAACATTTGTGTCTTCAGCTTTCTAGGCTGCAGTGAGTTGCTGTAAAGCAGTAGAGAGTGGTGGCAACTTAGGGCAGATAACCCTGTGGCTTTAAACTCAAACACAGTAAAACACTGCTCAACTCAATCCTAACAAAACAGATGTACAGGCTGAATTCAGTCTATGGATCTCCAGCTTTCAATGCCTGAACTTTTAGGCTGGGTAAGATTTTGCCTGGAAGCCTGCTTAAGCATCCTCATACCCCCTCCCCATCAGAGTCTTACTAAGATGCCGAGTCATTGAGCTGGTACTCTGCTGCTCTCTCGAAGCAGGCTTGCACCCCGCCATCCTTCCACAACTTCCTGATGACTTCCACCAGCTCAGGAGGCATGGTTCCCTCCTCAAGGGAGTCAGCTAGGTTGTTGAGCTGTCGCCCATCATCCTGTAATGCAGAAACCTGGCTGAGAACTACACAGGAGTAATAGCTTTCCAGGAGGCTTCTGGGAATACTGTTGAATGGAAAGCAATTTACATTGCTGCCAAAGCCTGAGGTAGAGCAGTCTCCAGTGAAGATTCTCTCTAAGAAAACATGCTGATTAATTTTTGAGTGTGCTCCCCACATGTAGAGGGTGGCAGTATATCCAGCCCTGGGGTTCCTAGAGGACAGCAGAGGTCCCAGCCGCTTCCTCTCTGGGGTTTCTGGCTTCTATCCTTAGTTCGAAAGGGTACTGCCATAAAACATGGGTCCTCTGCTGCAGGGAGACTGGAAGTTTAAAGGCCAGATTGACCTTCACTTTTGTTTTCTCAATGATTTAAAGCTAGAAAAAGGCCAATACTAGAACTAGGGATTTAGCTTATGAAAGTTCCATGGTCAGCAGCCTAGCGGGAGCGATTTAAATGGTAAAATAAGGCCAAAGAGGCACATGAAGCTGAGAATATTTATTATGAAGGTAGGAGTTGCTTACTTCTCCAGAACTGAATAAAAAGATTTGAAGCTCAGCAAGTAGGATTTTAGTTACACAAAACTATTTTCCTTACCCATCTTCCCTCACAGTTTGTTGGTATCTGCTCTGTTTCTTCTCATTAGCCTTTCCTGCTTCCACCCGTCACCACATAACAATCACATACCGCACAGCTTGGTTCAGCATAGTCAATTCCCAGGGTGGACATGGCCCGGATGATAGCCAGGATGGACTGCAGCACATTCCCGTAGATGATAGACTTGAACTCCAGGCATTCTTCTGGAGAATAGCCGTCCTGGTGAATGATCCTGCAAGGGGCAAACACCCAGTCTTTAGCTGGGCCTGAGTAACTAGACCTAAAGGATTGGGAATCTGGAGTATTTAAAGGGTCATAAGAACCCATCCCTCTGTTCCTACTGATGTCTCAAAGTGGAGGGTTAGGGACAGGAGGTGTACAGATGAGGGGCATTAGAATCAATTCCTTTATACCTTTATACCTGAGTTCCTTGAGGCTAAAGAGCCTTTCACTCAGAACCTCCACTGGCTTCACCCTACCCCAGTCCTTTGGGGCTTTCTTTGTTCCTACTCACTTCATCTGTTTGACGATGGTGCTCTTTCCTGACTCCCCAGCACCTGAAAGGAGAAACGCTTATGCTTCCAATTTCCCCCAACCTTCCAGGAGATGGCCTGTGAGAAGTCAGCCCCGCTGCTTGCTTGGTAGTCTGGTGAGGGGAGAACACGTAGGGATAATTGCTGCCCTCATTGTCTTGAGGGCGGGCCGTTCGGCCTGGCCAGAGTTTCTTCAGACTACTTACATTTTGGGCTGTCCTGTTCATCGTAGGATGTTTAGCAGGATTCCTGGCCGCTATCCACTAGAGACCAATAATACCCCATTGCCCTCAATATGACAACCAAAAATACCTCTAGACATTTACAAATGGCCGCTGGGGGTCAAAATCTCCCAAAATCTGTCCCTCCCTCCACCAACAGATTCAGGGGAATTCCTTTACCTCATTTCTCCTCTCTGCCTGTGGTTTTTTTTTTTTTTTTTTTTCTCACTGTGTTGCTCAGGCTAGAGTGCCGTGGCGTCAGCCTAGCTCACAGCAACCTCAAACTCCTGGGCTCAAGCGATCCTCCTGCCTCAGCCTCCCGAGTAGCTGGGACTACAGGTATGCACCACCATGCCCGGCTAATTTTTTTTCCGTGTATTTTTAGTTGTCCAATTAATTTCTTTCTAATTTTAGTAGAGACGGGGTCTCGCTCTTGCTCAGGCTGGTTTCGAACTCCTGAGCTCAAACAATCCGCCCGCCTCGGCCTCCCAGAGAGCTAGGATTACAGGCGTGAGCCACCGCGCCCGGCCCTCTCTGCCTGTTTTTGACTAAGGAGAGTGATCTTAGGGGAGGACTGGAGAGAGCTGGATCATTTCACTGAAATACTATTTTTTCATCATTTTGCTGGTTCCGTTTATTGCCTAAAATGTCCTAATGTCCTCGTTTACACTTTGTTCTCCCCCATCAAAAACTCACATATCCTTCCACCCTCTCTCAGTCTATACTGCCCTCAGCCTCCTCCTACTTAGCCTGTGCTTGTTCCCTCTAAGCTGCTTATCCTGAACCTAGAAGAAATCTGCTTAGGCTTAAAAGATCTCTCAGTGGCCCTGCTATCTCTTTCCCCCTGTGTAACCTCCTAAGTTCCTTAGAGTCTGGGTCCAGCTTACAGAAATATGTCCCTTTAGTGTGTCCTTAGGGCTGTGCTATGGACCAGCTGGGGGAAAAGAGGTGCCTTAGCCTGGTGCATCAGTTCCCAGGTCCCTCATGGGCTTGGAAACCCAGGCCAGGCAGCCAGTCTTCTGCTACATAGACCCCACTTGCTCCAGCTAGCCTACTTCTATAGTACCATTGGTTTTTTCCCTAAGCCAAGTGTCCCAAATTTTCTTGACTTGGTTCTATTTATAGCCATGATCAATTTCCCTGACTGACTTACTGACTTATTGGGGTGATTTTTTTTTCTCAGCCCAGACCAGTGATCTGCTTAGGAGCTCATCAAGTTGATGATCCTCCCATCTGGCAGGGGCTTTAGAGACAGGTACTGAATAGAAAGCCAGGAAGGGACTGCTGTAGACAAAAACTCCATTCTGCCTCACTCAGGGCTCCCTACTTCCATAATTTTTACCGAAAGCAAGAAGGGACCAGTATACTTGGCAAGAACCAGTGGACCTATCCCTGGGACTGTGTGGCACCAATTGTATGGTGGGACTTCTGAGTCCATTGGTGAGGGAAGGTCTTGTTCTCTTCAGATTCCTTGGCTCGAGTTCTCTGCAGATTGGGTACATGTTATCAAGTCCAGGGTTCTCAGTATTTGCCAAGATGAAAGGAAATGTTATGTTTGGTTAGATTTGGAGATGGGTGGGTTCATCCTGGCCCTTGCACTATTCCTAGTTCAAGGAGGAATGGAAATATTCCAGAATAGCTTTGGCACTCTGGATCCCCTTGGGGTGGCTGTGCAGGCCCCATATTAACCTAGCCCTAGAGCTCCTGATCCCCTAGCCAGAGACTGGAAAAATGACCTGCCACTCCTCCTTCCCGTGGGGTGGGCTAGAACCCACGGACCCTCGGGAAAGCAGGATGGAGCATTGCCCTCTCCTTTCCTGGCTCATCTTCCCATCTCACTCACCCAGCAGCAGCAGCTTGACCGTCTTGGCTTCTTTGTCAGCATCCTCCTGCAGCTTCTTTTCTAGCTCCTTGGACCTCTTGGCCAGTTCTTTGTCCTCAGCACTGATTCCACTCCCCATCTCTTCTGTCTCTTCCTCAGCTGCTTCCTCAGGCTCTTAAGCTTCTCTTGTAAGTTTTCCTACATATGAAATGGAAGAAAAGGAAACAATAAATTGGGATTGAGTATTAGTTCCTTAGTTCCCCTAAAAGCTGGTCTACATGGAGCCGGGTGAGAGCAGGCTGTTGGTTCTTCTACCCTTCCTACACTGGCTGAGCCTCCCTACCCCAACTGGAGACCTACTTCTTAGTCTAGGGATTGTAGCCTTTATATCTAGCAGTGTGATGGGTCAAGCCAATTAAGAGCTTTGTCAATATGACAAAGGGTAAAGACTCAAATGTTTCTATAACTAGGGAAATGATCAGTTGGGTTCTGACACAGGGGATAGGATACAGGTACTGAAGCTCTCTGAAATAAGATAATGGCCACCTCCATCCTTTTGAGGGTCTCATCCTCTAAAAGTCTCTTGCTTCCTTAGATTTACTTGCAATATAAAGCTAGAAACTAGGGGCACAAACATAGGAAGCATTCCCCATGTTGAGCCTCCAGAATATAGGGTCTTGGTATCAAGGGCTTCAAGGCATCAACGCATACTTGTTTATCATCACTGGCTGGTTCTGGCAAGGACTTTTTGTTTAGAGTGGTGCCCTTACTTGGAAAGATTAGGAATCTTTCATGCAGCTCCCCCAGTGGCTGCTGCTCCAGGAAGCTGTTAGTATTGTTCCTTTGTGTTGGCTCATCTCTTTGTACATATGTCTTTTATTAATATTAGCACTTACCACTTCACATTGTACTTGGTTTTACAATCTTTTTCCCACTGTGAATTCCTCCCCCTGGAGCTCAAGGTACCAAATCTGGTTCATCTTCGAACCCCTCAGAACTTGTAATTTATTAGTGGATCATCAGTAAAGACTTGGTGAATGAACGCACGTAGAAAAAAGGGCATACGGTAGAGAGAATGGGGCAGCTTCCCCTTGACCAAAGCCAGCTGAGGTCCAACTTCCCTTGGTAAGTGAACTTTGCTGGTATTTGGTGTGGGGCTTGTGCTGTCTCACTCAACAAACACTACTTCTTTGGGAAATGGGACTCTAGATTCTAGCTTCTCAAAGGTTGGGGGAGCTCTCCCTCTGACCCTCATCCAAGCTGCCTTTTCCTGGGGAGAAATGAGGGTGCAGTCTAGCAATTGCCTCACAGACATTGAAGATTCTCCACTGGTCATATTTCTCTATGCCAATTATTTCAGTTTATTCATTCTTGCTGGTGGAGCCTCCTCAGGTGGAGATACTTTACAATTTTGCGACCCAAAATGTGGTCCAAGGACCAGTGATATCAGATTACTTGGAAACTTGTTAGAAATACAGAATCTCAGGCCTTAACCCAGACCTTCTGATTCAGAATCTGTGTGGATTTTTTCCCCCCAGAGGCAAGGTCTTACTCTGTCACCCAGGCTGGAGTGCAGTGGTGCTATCATAGCTCACTGCAGCCTTGAACCCCTGAGCTCAAGTGATCCTCCTGCCTTAGACTCCTGAGTAGCTAGGACTGTAGGTGTGTGGCACCACTCCCAGCTGATTTTAAAATATTTTGTAGTGATAGGATCTTCCTATATTGCCCAGGCTGGTCTTGAACTCCTGGCCTCAAGTGATCCTCTTGCCTCAGCCTCCCAAAGTGCTAGGGTTACAGGCATAGCCACCATGCCTGCCCTAGAATCTGCACTTTTTCCCATTTTTTATTTAAGTGGATTTAGGTGATATAATTGGTTTTTTGTTACATGGATAAATTGCATAGTGAAGAAGCCTAGGCTTTTAATTTGCCCATCACCTGAATAGTGTACATTGTACTCAACAGGTAATTCTGCATCCTGCATTTCCTTCCCTTCCCACCCTTCCCCTTTCTGAGTCCCCAGTGTCCATTAAATCACTCTATGACCGTGCATACCCATTGCTTAGCTCCCACTTATAAGTGAGAACATGCAGTATTTGTTTTTTTATTCTTGTGTTACTTCACTTAGAATGATGGTGTCCAATTCCATCCAAGTTGCTGCAAAAGACATTGACGCTTTTTAATGGCTGAGTAGTATTCCATGACATATATGTATTTTTTAATTTATATTTTATATACACACACACACAGACACCATATTTTCTTTATCCACGCATCAGTTGCTGGGCACTATAGGTTGGTTCTATATATTTGCAATTGTGACTTGTGCTGCAATAAACATGAGTGCAGGTGTCTTTTTTATAAAGTGACTTCCTTTGGGTAGATACCTACTCGTGGAGTTACTGGACTGAATGGCAGATCTACTTTTAGTTCTTTGAGAAATCTCCATACTGTTTTCCATAGAGCCAGAGATGTGCATAAGGGATTGCCAGGAACTAATGATTATAATGTATTGTAATGTAACTAATAATTGCTAGACAATTTGTGTGGCTCATACCCGTGAACTCTCACAATAACTTCAAGGTAAGTGCTGTTTTCCCCAATTTACAGACCAGATAACTAAGACTTGAGGGTTAAGTAACTTATTCAAGGTCATATAGCCTAGTAAACAGACAAACCAGTGATCCTTTTTCCCACTACTCCTACATAAATTGCCAGTGAGAGAAAGAACGCTTGGCAAATGCATGAACTCAATAACAGTAGCACTTGTTTTGTTAAAGGAACCACTAATTTCTTTCACACATGGAGAAAATGTGAGCTTGTTCCTTTTTCTGCTACTGCCTCTGCAAACTTCTGTTCTGCTTCTGCTTTGTTCCCTAGCTTGCTGAGTAGAAGTTCCCCATTCTTACTGCTACGCTGAGTAAGGGAGCTTCTGGCCCTCGTCTGGCCTCTGAGAGCACAGATTCACTACTGTGCATGCACCATTCCTGACACCAGTGACCTTATACCTCCTGTCATCAGCTCCTGTGCCTTTCCTGTGGCTGTTCTACTTTATTATCACATGTAGGGACAGAGTCCTGGTGAAGTAGGTAAGGCATGCAGTACTATTCCCATTTTAGAACTGAAGCACAGAAGAGTGATCCTCCTAATGACCATATCATTTTGAGTGAAAAAGGAATCACATTTCCCAAAAAATCTGGGCATGTTTCCTGAGTTAAGGAGAGATTTCAGGATCTGTCTCACATCCATTGGCAAGCCTTGTCCCAGAGGGAGTGGGGGGGCCTGGAAGGATAAGGAACTACCTTCAGGAACTTCCAGTCCCTAGGGGGAGGTAGGGGACATTCACAGAAAAACATTTAGTTAAAGGGACATTGCCTAGAGCTGGGGAATTCAGAGCTGTTTAGAACTTAGCCTCCAGGCTGGGCGCGGTGGCTCACGCCTGTAATCCTAGCTCTCTGGGAGGCCGAGGTGGGCAGATTGTTTGAGCTCAGGAGTTCAAAACCAGCCTGAGCAAGAG